TCTCTTCTATAAAATGGCGGGATTACAGTGCCTATTGCATAGGATTGTGGTAAGAATCAAGTGGTAGGCAGGAAGCTCAGCGAACACTTTCAGGGCACCTTACTAGTAGCAGCAGAAAAGCAAGTAACACATGCCCGGCTGGCGTGGCTCAGTGGTTGAGCGTCGACCTATGAACCAGGAGGTCGTGGTTCGATTCCCAGTCAGGGCACTTGCCTGGGTTGCGAGCTCGATCCCCAGTGTGGGTTGTGCAGGAGGTGGCTGGTCGATGGTTCTCTCTCATCATTGATGTTTCTATTTCTCTATCCTTCTACCTTCCTCTCTGAAATCAACAGAATATATATTTTAAAAATAATAAAAAATAAAATATATATTTGCACATATATTTAAAAAAAGGAAAAAGAAAAAGAGAAGCAAGTAACATAAAACCGGTCTCATAAATGGTTCCTGTCAGTGGAGCCTTCAGAGGAGGCTATTCTGTCACATGACCTTCACATGACCTCTGAAATACATATTCTTTCTTGCTTTCGCATACTTAATTTGATGCCTTTGCAAAAATATTTAAGAGTAGACAATTTCTTCCTGTATAAAGTATACATAAGAAAATTTACTATTTAACCATTTTGAGTATATAGTTCATTAAGTGCTTTCATATTGTTGGGCAACCATCACCACCATCCATCTGCAGGAATTGTTCACCATCCCAAACTGAAACTCTGTACCCATTAAACAATTAACTCCTCACCCCTCCTCCCCTCAGCCCCTGCTAAACACTACTCTTCCTCTATGAATCTGACTATACAGATGACTGTTTTTTTAAAGCTAATAAGTCCTGCACTGGCAGGTGTGGCTCAATTGGTTGGAGCATCGTCCTGTACACAAAAAAGGTTGTGAGTCTGATCCCAGGTAGTGGCACATACGGGAGTAAAAAGATCAATGTTTCTCTCTCACATCAATGTTTCTCTCTTTCTCTCTCCCTCTCTCTAAAATAATAATAATAATAATAATAATAATAATAATAACAGTAATAATAAAAACACCCTGAAAATAAAAAAAACCTAAAAACAATATTCTTGGGTAAGGATTTAAAAAAATAAGCTATTAAGTCCTTTCCAAATTTACTTTGTTAACAGCAGGGTCTTAAAAAAAACTATCACGGAGGTGAAGAGAAATGAAAAACCTGTGATGTCGCAGGATTTATTTAACCATAAGCCTGGTGATCAATATGTCATTTATGCCTGACCAGTTTGGCTCAGTGGATAGAGCGTCGGCCTGTGGACTGAAGGGTCCCGGGTTCGGTTCCGGTCAGGGGCATGTACCTTGGTTGCGGGCACATCCCCAGTGGGGGGTGTGCAGGAGGCGGCTGATCGATGTTTCTCTCTCTCAACGATGTTTCTGACTCTCTATCCTTCTCCCTTCCTCTCTGTGAAAAATCAATAAAATATATTTTTAAAAAAAGAAAAGAAAAACTTTCTTTAAAAAAAACATGTCATTTAAATGAACAAGCTACGGTGATCAGAGTAATGATAAAAGCAACAAAAATGGCAATATTTAACATGAAATAAGCACCAAGGACATGGTAGGGACCTTGAGAAGCATCCGGCATGCACTGTTTCATCAAGGTACCTGTGAAGAACCTACTGCTGCACCAGTTGGATGACCTTGCTCCAATCGCGGACCCCTCTGTGCCTATCCTCAGCTGTAAGGAGGAGAGAACGGAACGTTAGGCACAGGATTGTTGTGGGGAATGGATGAGCTAATCCATGCAATGCCCTTGGCACAGCACCTGGCACTGTAGGAAGTTCTCAGTCAGTGACGACGACCGCTGTTCTCATTCCACAGATAAGGAAGCTGAGGCGCAGTGCGGTCAAGAGGCCGGTGGGCCCTGAATCCAGATCTCACATCAGAGCCAGTTTTCTAGATCTTGCCTCTTGGTTGCTCCTAAAGATAAAAATAAGCAGATGGGAGTTTCAGGGCTCACGGGAAGAGACGTGAGGGCTTGAGAGCTTGGGATAAAGGTCAGACAGAAACAGGAGAGGACCTGAAGCCAAAGAAGCTGCTTGAGGGAGAAGAGAACAGAGTTGTGAAGGGTGCAGGCTCTGGAGTCAGACCACTGGTGTGTGAATACTGGCATCTCCAACTTGCTAGCACTCGGTGTTAGTATAATGTGCTTCAATAAGGCAACAGTCACTTATTCGTGCCCCTGGAGGCAAATCCTCAGAGTGGAAAGGGAGGCTCCCACTTAGACCAGGGCTGTCCCAACGGAAATAAAACACAACTACCTGTGTCATTTAAACGTTTAGTAAACACACTGACTTAGGGTGGTGAACACACAGTCCACTACACAGATGATGTGCTGTAGAATTGTACACCCGAGACCTACATGATTTTATTAACCAATGTCACCTCAATGAGTATTGGGGGTAATGATAATAATAACCACCGCCCTGCAAAACCGCACAGGAAGGTTAGTCAGTCTGAGCGACTACACATAAGACATTTGGAACTGTGTCTGGCAGCTTAAACAGTCAATGGAAGTTACCCACATGGCTGCTTCACCGGAAGGAGTCAGGGAACCCCTTCCCCGGGTGGCTGCAGCCGCGCATACACCCCGATGAGCAGACACCACTCAGCCCTTCCTCCCAGAGCCCTGCACAGTGAGTGTCCCGCCTGTGGACGAAAGGGGCCACATGCTGACCTGACAAGCTCAGGAGAGGCCTGCATGGCGGTCTTGCAAACTCGGAGACCTAAAGTAACCACAAAGGATGGTCTGAAATTAAACCTTAACTAAAAGCAGTTATGGTGGGCAGTTACGTCCTAGGCTGGTATCTTCACTGACAAGGTCAACCTTTACCGTAACTGAGCCTGTCTGTCTTTTTGCATCTATGATAACATTCCCTTGAAATGTCTGGGTAACTTGTGACTTCCCTGTATCTGAAGCCCCTGGGGCACAACCAGGTGTGCTGGGCCCAGGACAGATACCGCAAATTCCTTCATCATCATGTTAATTGTTCCTGTACCCACCTAAGTATGTGTCCATCATTTTACTTTTTATCCAATCCCAGGGGTTTCCCTGCTTTGCTTATCCCTCCTCCTTAATCTGTCACCAATGAATTTCATGTAACCCACCTATGTTCCTCCTTTGATTGCAATGTATAAATACGAATGTAACCCCGCCATTCTCCGGAGCACTATCTCAATTCGTTGAGGTTCTGCTTCCCGGCATATGTCGACAGTTTGGCTCAAATAAACTCACAAAAATTCTTTACAGGTTTCAATGGTTTTTTTACGTTAACACGCCCAACCACACCCGGGGCCCTAATACAAGTTCTCCTGTAGCTCTCAGGAAGAATCTGATTCGAGGGGCGTGGGGGTGGAGATTGAGGGTAAAATGCCCAGGTCAAGAGATCATCATTAGTTAATCACTGTTTAAGTATTTATTAGTTAATCATTACTAGTCTTCTGATTTCAGACAGAAGAACCCTGATATGGTAAGGGGAACGTAAACCTTTCCCATCTCGGAAGAAATGCCCTTGGACTTTGTAACCCCCTTTGCTCTGGCCTCTATTTGCCTGGTGACTTCTGCTCAGCAAGAGTCTTTGCAGGGAGACCTTCCCCTTACCTCTTGGGGGAGGGGAGGAGGTAATTAGTAGGTCAACCCTCTCCCTTGTGATTGCT